GGCGATACGGGCCGAATATAAGGAAGTGTGAAATCAAGAATGACGGTGAAATGAAAAAAAAAAACTCGCAAACAAAGGCAAAATCGAAAAAAAAAATTTATAAGCTAAAAACTCACCGTTTGGTAGTTAGGAATGTATATTCAAAGTTTCGTTCAAATCTGTTCAATAGTATGGAAGAAATTCTTTTATCACTGCGAATTTCGGCCTGCTTCGCAATATACGCGTAACTCACAAATGAAGGTGAAATTTAAACAAATTTACAAGCTAATTATCACCGTTAGATTCTGATGAATACGTGTTCCAAGTTTCATAGAGCTGCGTTCATTAGTTTGGGAAATATTACTTGATAATTGAATTTGGAGATTGGTCGTGAGACCGGCCACGAGTCCGGCCGTAAATTCGTCCGCGACCTCCTAGGTTTCTAGTGCTGAAACAGTTGAAATAGCTGACAAATATATTGGTTCACTAAATGGGGTTCTATTTGTGAAGTACACATTTGTATTTAACCTTTATCTTTTAAAATTGCAGCGTACTAAATTTCAAGAAAGAGGCGTATGTCTGTGGGGGGCGCTAGAAATTCAATAGGGAGCCAAAGGGGGCGCCAGCCTGAAAAAGTTTGGGAACCATTGCTTTATATAAACGGTCAGAATCACTTATTGCTCTGAATTATTGAACCGGCAGGTTTTGTCACTGCCGAGCTCACACATCCGCTCACCACAAACTCATGATCGAAACTGTACCTTCTTCTTTTTCGGGTGTCCACGCTGGGTGGAATTAAAGCCACAGGACAACCGCAAGGATGACCGTTGGAAACTGTACCGTATACTGATTGGTGGTGAGACAGTTCAAAACCGGAACTAAAAATTTAGCAAGTTTGAAACTCGGAGTATTGTTAGCAGCAAAGATTAGGCGGAATTGAAATTTCAAAGCGAAATCGTGTTTGCGAATTTTGGGTGGTACAGATAACAGGGTAAGAGCCAGAAGCATAAAGTTTGAGGAAATTTTAGATGAAAATGCAGCATAATCTTTAAGTTTTCTTAGGAAATTATAAATTTTATCCTCAATCTTCAAATAGTTTTAACAATTGGATCGGAAATTTCGATTAATTTGGAAGGGTCTGTAATGAAGTAGAAAGGCTACTGTTGTAACGATTACGATCTTCTAATGCAACGCCCTTACCCTTATCTTAATACAAATGATTAGGTCCTTATTTTTGGCCAAGTCCTTTAACAAATGTGTCACGGGGTTCAAGTTGAAGTCTGGCTGAGTATAAAGGAGTATTAGAAAAGGAAATCTGCTAGTGCATCCCCCTCATTCAGCAGTACGCGTTCATGCCGAGCAGTGCAACGTGCCAGTGTCCAATAGTGATTTTCGAATTTTAGCCTCTACGACCGGTGTTTCCGACCTGCAAATTTTAGAGTCCTTTTTATATTTTTAAACAAAAGCCCAGTTTAAATGCCGCCAACGGGAGCGCAGCCGTGCACCACCAATTTTGTGCACCAATAAGCCCTGAATCGAACGCTTTGGATCTCTCTGAGCCATAATTTATTTTCTACTTTTAAGTCCACAAGAAAAACATGGTTCTTTAAAAAGTTTTTTTTAAAGTATTTTATTCATTTGACGATTTATGCTAATTGTTTGTACCTGTGTTTTAGGTTTTGAACTGATGATGGAGCTGGTCTCCGAAACGTTTTCCTTTTTAAGAAATGGTGAATTTTCTGGCTATTTTCTTTGTTTTTAAAATTTTTATATACTTGCGTTTTAAGTAGTACAGTGATTTTAATACTTAAATACTCGTGAAATTAGATCAGACTTTTTATCGCTTTAAAGTGAATGAATTTCTAGGCTTGGGAGAACTTTCAAGTTGAATTTAAAAAAGTTATTGTAAGGATTTAGTCATTTATGCTACAAAATAGCGGTTATCCCGACATTATACGGATCTAACTTTATTGCGGACCGGAACTTACTAGGGACGACTTATTTTAGATATTAAGGTTGTTGACTTTACGATCTCATCCTCGTCGGAAGTCTCCTTCTGATCCGTATATCATTTGTACATACCGATTGCTGCTGCTGTAATAAAGATTATGTGGGAACTCGTGATCTATCTCCTGTGATGTGCCAAAGCTGATGTAGAGAACCCAAGCGAATTACTACAGTTATGAATACTAATTTCATTTCAGTAGCGACTAAGCTGATACTCGTGAAATTAAAACAGACTTTATCGCTTTAAAAAGACTAAGTTTCTAGGTTTGGGAGAACTTTCGAGCTGAATTTATAAAAAAGTATGAATTCTAAGTCGATTTTAGAAACGGCTGATCTGATGCACGTGAAATTATAACAGGCTTTTAATCGCTCTAAAGGTAATATATATCTAGGTTGGAACAACGTTTGAGTTGAATTTAAAAAGATATGAATACTAATTATAATAAAAATGGCTAAACTGATACTCGCAATACTATTAAAAACTTTTTTTTCGCTCTAAAGTGAATAAATTTCTAGGTTTGGGAGAACTTTCGAGTTGAGTTTGAAAAGTTATTAATACTAATTCCATTTTATAATTTCCATTCCACTCGTGAAATTATAACAGACTTTTTATCGCTTTATATTGAACAAATTTCTAGGTTTGGCAGAACTTTCGAGTGAATTCATAAAGTTATGAAAACTAATTCGACTTTGATACTTGCGCGAAATCATAACAAACTTTTCATCGCTTTAAAGTGAATAAATTTCTAGGTCGGGGAGAACTTTCGAGTTGAATTTAAAAAGTTATAAATACTAATTCTATTTTAAAATAATTTCAATAAACACATTAACTACGTCTGTCAGGGGCTGAGTAAAACCCGCGGAGTTTTGCGTTAGCAATCAAGTGTTTCACTTTTTCTTTCGGTAATAACGTTTTTCTACTCAATGTCTTTATTATCAAAACTCTCAAACCCGTTGATAATCTGGGGTGGTGTATCTATTAATTCCAAGGAACGGGTCATCATGTTAATTAATAAATCGTTGCGATCAATATTTCGGGTGAGGTATGATGACAACAATATCCCTTTGACTCGTACTAATGCATAATTATTATTATTAGGCATCCTAAAATTTTGAAACTTGTCGATAAGTGCGAATTTCAGTTTTTAAAATTCACGAATAAGGCACTTTTCCATGATACCGTCTTTTTAATTCTGCATTCGCCTCTCTTATTCCCCAACATTCCCATAACACCAGGGGCATGCGTTTTAACTTACCCCCGGTTCGGTTAGAAATTGAAAAAAAAACGGCACAGTTTTTAATTGGGTAAAATATTTTAACTAATTGCCTGATGACTGCAAAATAAATTGTTCTAGATTCGTTTTAAAGATAAAAAACTTTAAAAATTCTTATTCAATATTAGTTTGACTGTGATTAACATGTATGATTATAATAATTCGTTATGTTGTTTTCAATTACATACTATTTTCAGTGATATACTTGCTTTTAGTGACATGCTATTATTAGTTTTCTTGAAGTTATTGTAATGGATGTGTTTATTTAGGAAACTTTCTGTCGTTCTTATCATTATTGTATTATCATTTGAATGGGCTCAAAAGACAACCTTGTAACCTGGTAATCTTTTTTATGGAGCTTTTGTTATTTTATTTCGTGTTTCTCTCTATTATAATGCGCTGTATGCTAATGTTTGCGAATAAACAACAATAAACAATCAGAATGTAATGTGATTTTTGATGCTGATCATGAATTACATAACTTGCAGATGGGAAAATAAAATCGCTAACATATTTTCAAATCAAGGATATAATTTTAAATTGGTATTTTACCATCGTATGAGTCATTTATGGCTATTGTTGGCTGCAGCACATAGCATGATAAGCAAATCTATCTTAATTATAGTCCAGGGTAATTCAATACCACGAGGACACCACTCAGGCTATATATACGACAACACGGCATGGTGCACACACAGGCATCAATGGGAACTAACGTGTCGTGCTTATTGGTATATAATCACACTCAAGAAGTGCACGCAACACATTGAACCGCCAACGCAAGGGTTTCGTTTAAAAATTAATTGTTGAAACAGCAGTTACGATTCTTTCACTGGTATCTGCAGCCCTATTAACTCTATTGAAGTTATTATTTTTTAGGGAACGATTTGAAAGTTTAAAAAAAGAAAAAGATTTTAATAAACTTTTTTGCCAACTACGATAAGTGATCAATCATTCTGCTTTGAGAATTAGGATAAATTGAGCCCGCAAATGCGAATAACAATACATTATAATAACAGATTCAAGGTAATTAATAGCGATGCTTTAGCATCTGCTCTCAATGGATATGTTTTAGTCTCCAGCAACTCAGACTTGAATTCTATGTTAGATTGCCGCAGAAGATGGTTATAAACTAAACGATACCAAACTTAAATAAACGTCTACCATTCATCAACTTTTCTTTCGATTTCGACGAGTAATTGACCATTTTATTTCCAAAGTTACAATTAAAGAGTTATCACCTTTTTGTACTGTGCCTCGGATTAGAAGTTATGCGAACAACATTTAGGATATTTTTTCGTTCTGTGTAAGGTCCTTATGTGCCATGCTTCTATTAGAATAGAATAGAATAGAATAGAAGTGTCGGCGTTGAAGAAATAGGCCCATGGCCTGTTGCAGATTCTTGAACTTTTCGTGACTTGATTCACAAGGGATCCAGCCTCTGGAACCCGATCTTTCCATAACTGACGATTGATTGAGATAGCTGCTGGACTTATTGCGGTCCGTAATTTGCTAGGCATTTTAAGACTGAACATATGCTTCTGCATAGCTTCGTCTAGTCTGTTTTTGAAGATGTTAAAAAATTTACGTTGTGTTTTTTACGGAGAAACATTAGTAAGGTAAGTTGACGCAGGAATATGATTCACATTATTCGGGGTTCACCAGGTTTGCATGAATTGTTCACGGGAATAAAATAAAAGCCTCCAGACTTCAAGACACAATTTAATAGACAGCGCCACGAAAAAGTCAAGAGCTTATCTTGCTGGTACACCTATATTCCACCACATAAAAATTAAATAATTCCATATAAAAACGAAAATTAATTAAATTCCACAACATACAAATTAATCTTTGTGTAATCAAACGTGACAATAATTACCAACAGAGCAACAATAGATAGGGTGAAGTACGGAGGCTCTACCTTCTCTCCTGTTCAATATCATAGTGATCTCTGGTCCGCACGACCGTAACCAACAGGGCTCCAGTTCTTTCTAAAACTATCTCCCGAATATACATCGCAGTTACAACGCGCACTTTGTACGTAAAAACCTCAAAAAACCTGTTAAATCTAATTATTAATCAAAACCTGTTGAATCTCATTAATAGTCAAAACCTGTTAAATCTAATTAATGATCAAAACCTGTTAAATTTAGTGTTAATCAAAACCTGTAAAATTTAATTAAAAATCAACATATGCCTCTTCAGCCAAGAATTTACCAACCCAAAAGCGACTCTTAGCACATTTTTCCGTTTGAACATTACGTCGATTATGCTTTATTCGGATGCCAATAGGCTGCTGGATTGGAACGTTTCATTCGCTCAGTATTAAGTGCCCTCTACCACGAGCCTCTTCATGGTGTGTAATTGAGTGGTATCGAAAGAAATATTCAACAATACGATATTCTAAATATATTCATTGGAAAGGGAAAACACACACTTTTTTAAATTTGCGACCACAGTTTTCACATTGAGTAACTTTATACAGAGACGATAGATTTTTCAATTTTTTCTCAAATGCTTCTTTTTTGCTCGACCGATTCAGTTATCGCTATGTCTGTACCTAACAATGTGGGTTGGACAGAGGTTTGTGTAAATGTTAGTTTCTTGCTCTGTAGATTAGCTTATTGTCTGCGGGAGTGCGAACACCTCCCAAATTCAGTATATCTTTTTGGCTGAGGACCACGCCTTTTGGAGGAATGACGTCGAAGTGCTGGATGATGGCAGCGGTGAAGAGGAACAACTCCATGCGGGCCAGCAGCTCACCAGCGCACTGACGACGACCTGGCGGATACGCTTGGCTTAGTTCAAATAAGTCAATTATTTAAACCTTCAAAGTAACAGATGGAGAGCATGAAATTTCGAAAGGTTGTTGTAAAACCTATTGCGAATAGAAAACTTCTGGAACTATTTCTCTTGTTGAGTGGCAACACGAAACAGATTTTTTTGGCTTTAAAACCTAATTCATCGGTCCCACAAATGTATGAATGATGAATGTGAAGCCGGCTGTTTTTCAAATGGAACTTGCACGCGTTATCGCAGAATTTAATTACAATAAATCATTTGCGCAATAGTTGTCCCGATCATCAAACGTAGAATTTGTCGTCTCATTAGTATAAACAAATCTGAATTATGATATTATGTACACACCTGGATTATAAAATTAGCTTAGCAGTAAAATGTTACCCGTGTCGAAGGCTAGCAAAGCCTCACCTGAACCGAAGGCGAAGAAGCCGATGTTAGGAGCTGTGTACTTGGTGGCGCTTTCGTCCAGGAATCGTTCAGGGTAGAACTTGTGGGGGTCGTCCCAGTACCGCGGGTTGTGGTGGATGGAGTAGTTGGCGACTTGAACCAAAGTGCCCTGAAATTCAATTTAAGAAATCGGCATCTTTTGTAAGGTGTCTCAGTAAATGCAGGCAATAAGATTAGGGGCATATTGAGCTTTCATTTACATGTTCTTTTCAATAAACGCTGAGGTAGCGTCTTCAAAATCGCGAAATCGAGACGACTTCACGTTCATCCAAATTAGAACACGTAACACTCGAGTTTTAGGGAAGGATTTAGTTTAACCAGAACGGTGGTCATTAAACGCTTCTGTCAAATCTAATCAAAGAGTCGCTAAACGTTTCTTTTGTATGAGGCATGTTTTTTAAGTAAGGATCTTTTGGAATGAAAATAAGACGTGCAAAGATATCGCAATAATTTTATTTTAACATGATAGCCTGTACCTTAATCTACTTTTCTACATAATTTCCGTGAATATTAAGGCACTTGTCATAACTTTAAACCAGCTTTTTAATACCCTCCTGATAAAATTCTGCCGCCTGACTCGGAGATGAAATTCTGAATTCTGCTGAAATGGAGGTGAAATTCTGCTGAAAATGCCTGAAATTTCTTCTTCCTGACGAGTCGGGCGGCAGAATTTCAGGCGTTTTTCAGCAGAATTTCACCTCCATTTCAGCAGAATTCAGAATTTCAGCAGAATTTCACCTGTTGCCAGCGTGCTGGTTACCTGCTCAGGCTGGCGCCTGAAACCATAGAATACAGAAGCCTATTCGTACAGGTTTTCACTGTGAACACTTACATTATTATCCTATGTTCATTCTTGCGGCAGGTTGGAGCAGGTTGCCCGCGCGGGCAAACCTGCTTTCACTGTGTGCGTACCCTAAGGGTACCCTCACAGTGAAAGCAGGTTGCCAGCGTGCTGGTTACCTGCTGAGGCTGGCGCCTGAAATTGAATTAAATAGGCCTGGCGCTGGCCTATTCGTACAGGTTTTCACTGTGAACACTTACATTATTATCCTATGTTCATTCTTGTGGCAGGTTGGAGCAGGTTGCCCGCACGGGCTAACCTGCTTTCACTGTGTGGACACTCAGGACACTATAAAATCGGAAAGGAGATTCTGACTAGAAGCTGAATTTGTTCATTTGACGAAGCAGACCCAGATGAACTCCAAGCCGAGTGTAGCGACTACTGGGCGGAAGCCTATGCGGTACCCATTTTTTTAAATTTTTAGTAAACAGCTAGGAGTCTGATGCTGAGCTCAAGTCCTCAGGTAGAAAAAGTTGTGAACTATAACAACGAAATTGTAATAGTTTGCAGCAACGTGTGTAACCCTGTCAGGAGGCAGGTCTGAAATAGTCAAACCTGGCATTGAAGATTTTTCACATAGATCAACGGAATACTGCAAGTGAAAAGGACGGTTATTAAACTGTTAAATTAATGTTTTTATGTGACAAGATCCATGTATATCTTGGACTACTATAAGGCTAACCTTGGGGATGAAATAGCCCTTGATGGTTGCATCTCGATGAGCTGACCTCTGAACGTTGTACACCACCATGGAAGAGTACCGCAAAGCTTCAACGGTGAATGCTTCTACCAATGGCAAGCTTGATATGGAAAATGAGGTGTCATTACGCAAGGTTGGTTTCAAATTTGTATGTGTATAAGTATGACTCGATTCAAATTTTCAGTTAATAAAAACTTTGTTACCAAAAAAGTATCAATCAATTCAGTAGAGAGTCGTACAAAATGAAAATTATTGGTGCAGCACCGATGATTATTATTGGAGGCTATAGGTGGAAATTGCAGGTGGAGTAGCGATGACGCGTCCGGTCTACCTTCCACCTAATACCTGCCGATGTCATCCTACCCGAAAAATTCATCTTCCACCAGATACTAGCCATTGACAATCTAGCCAATGACATCAATAATAATTTTCCGCTTATTTTTTGGGCCGATACTAAACATTTCCGGACACTACTTCCTTTGATCACACATTCCCAGGATTACGCATACACATCTAACATGGCAGTTCGAGCAACAATGTCAGAAAAGCGGCAGGGACATAATATCACTTTACCGTACGCATACTTCGTGAGAACTCAACTTGAAGAAAAGTACTTGACGGCTGATTGCGAGCCCAGGTCTCTCGCGTTTAAAGCGGGAAAAGCTAATCCTCTACCGTTGAGCCATCGGAGCGATCTTAGCGCACGCAGCTTTTTAAGAGGCCTAACTGAAGTATGGCAATTATTAATTTCTCCAAGTTGTAAATGTCACTACTATGATAATTAAATGGGCGTTGCATTACTCGCTGTTTATTTGAACATGTTGCTTTGTTTAAGGGAACGACCGCCGAAGGAAATTTTGTTAATTAACAATGAAACTTCGCTCGGCACCCAGTGATACGTACTCAGTGGCTTCACTTCAGCATGGAAAATTGATTAACGTTATGCTCCCGACTATCAGTTTTACTTGTACCTACACAGAACTCGCCCAATTTTCGAGAATTTTACTTGAATCTAAATCCTAAAAGCCAAGCACTCAGAACGAGGTCATGGTTTCTTTTTGAACTAAAGTTACAAAAGATGTACCAGCAACGCACCATCGATGATTTAGAACCTATGAATTATCGACGAATCATCGATGGATATTGAAGGACTCATCGCCCTCTCGTTTTATTGATGTTTTGCCATCGATGGCAGACGGTAAATTATTATTAAACGTGTCTACCGTTTATTGGCAGACGTGAACGCCCATCATTACGCAACCTATAATCCACTACGCCCATGTATTATCATCGGTGCACCATCTTTAATTTTTATTTGTGATCTATGAGTTTAAAATTTTAATACTTTAGTCTGTTTTGAGATGTGAAATAACAAATTTACCTGTATGAGCTTCCAACATAACTAAACATGGACAGTGACTGGAGAGATATACTTTGGAGTATATTAAGTATTAGCGAACTTCAAGTAAATACAAAATTTATATCCAGCACCTTCAATTTAACTGATGTCCTCCAGCCCTCCCCGGCAAGAGTTCATGGGCTATACTTTTAAAACTCGCTAAGTGAACGTAAGTACTTACGCTCTATTTTCTTTTCTATGATTGGTGGATTTGCATGGCTTGAACGGCCGTCAATGATTGGCTGATGAACTTACGATCTCTTAACTTTTTTTGAAAGGATAGGCCTTGAATAGCACCAAACGTATTAATCAAATGAAATGAGTACCTCGGCTTATCATCGAGCGACACCATGCGGTCCCTGGGCACGACAGCGTCTATTTCCTGCTGCATCCTCTTCGCGTACTCTGGATACCGGGCGAGCAGGTAAGCCATCCACCTCAGCATGTGGCTCACTGTGTCAGAGCCCGCGCCGAAGAGGTCGTTGACGATTTGGTTCAAAGCTGGAATGAGCAAAGACTCATGACAGGCCTCGTAAAAATGATCTAAAGATCGAGATGCAACATATTTTAATAAGCTAAAAAGCTCAAAATTTCAATGAGATTGTTTTCTTCAACATGAATTACACAGATCTTAGTAGGGTTCATTCAGAACAATAACGATTGGCAATGCGCAATTGAGAAAACAATCATGTATACCTAATTAACATTGAAAATCATTGTCAAATTGAAATCCTTTACCTCCCTTCCGGAAAAGAGAGTTATTGTCTCCTTCGCTTGCCCTCATGTCTTTGATGTACTCGTCTATGAGGTCCCGAGGGTTGTCTGGGTTATAGTCCTCCAGGTGCTTGTCCACGGTTTCCTAGCAGAGGAAAGAAGATCTTATTTTGTATGGCATTGAAAAACTCCATTGGCGATAGTTGAAAATGAGTTGTAGTTCTCAAATATGTATGCATATATTTAGGCCTTGGATTCTCAGGTTCAATGTTTCATGTTGAGGATAATTCACTTGGGGCCCAAGTGTAAAAAACAAATTTCAGCGATGGTCTAAGGAAAAGTCATCAAAATATCAGACACGAAAGTGAAACATTTCAAACAATCATCAATTATTATCTGCAAAATCAACTCACGTTCACGATAACCTTCATTTCTTCCACAAAGCGATCAAAAATATCATCGCCAAACAAATAATTCTTGACGGATTTAGGCAGATGATCTAATGCCGGAATGAACACGGGTAATAACGATAACACGGAAAATGTTTCACGAAATTCATTAGTCAGACGATAAATCGTTTCAACTTCTTTGGAGCGAAGATCGTACCGAGTACCTGAATAAGAAGACATCAAATAAATATGAATTCAGCTCAGACCTGCAACTAGGTAGAAGCAGTCAAAATTTGATACTCTTCCTTAAGAGATGGATAGTTTTCACCTCATGACATACACTTTTCGAACTGAAAAAATTGTTTGATTCTTTTTATATGCCAAGAATCTGCCAAAAGTTGTGGTAAATTTCGATTAGAACAGAATTTGATGACTCACTGGCCACCATCTGCCAGATGATGTTGAGCGCCACAGTCCTGAAGCTGTCGGGGAAGTTGATGGCTTCACCGCCGTACTTCTTGAGGTCTTCCACCAGCGCTTTTCCTTCGATATTAATTGCTTCCTCTAGGTGATCCTTACCCATTCCTGGAAATTGTGTGTGAATTACCCTGGTGTGTGAATTAAAAGTGAAAAATGTGAAGTTATATATGTGAATTAAAAAAAATTACTCATCACAGCACGCGCAAAAGGAAGAATATAACTTTAACTTTAACCTTCATCGAGCTATACAATGAAGAAAAATACACAATTCGAAATTCTCGCAATTGAATTGTAATTTGTGGTCAGCAGGTTTGTTGGATTAATTTTAGTTAAAGAATGTTTGCTGACATCACTTGGTCAAAAATAAATCCCGAGTCTGTGTAGGTTGAGACAGCAAAGCAGATGTGTTGCAGAATTGAAACTGTTCACTGATATCCATAATCCAAACACCAAATATTAGAGAAACCTGAAAATTAGATATTAGATATCAGAGAAGTCTGATTATTATCTCAAATATTAGAGAAGTCTGAGAAAGTTCGAGACAAATGTGTAGTACTTACAGCAGGTCGAGATGATTCTTTGCCTCCGACTGGGAAAGTAAAATTTAATGGAAGTGGAGAAATGACAACCGAACTGCAACCCAACGAGCCTACCTCAAATTAGTCCTACGCAGAAAAATAATCAACTTACCAAATATCTTTCAAAAATTACCTCTATTTTTACAACACTTCTCTTTAACTTCACTTCTTGTTTGTCTGTCTGTCTACTACAAATCTTGTAATCGAAATTTAACACACTTCTACTTATCCTATCGATCTGAAATTTTGCACACTTGCGTAAAGTTGGAGACAATGCATGAATCAAATGACAAAATCAACAATTTTATGAATAATTTTTTTTTCAATATTAAAAAAACTGAAAAAATAATTTTGCCAGCTGCAATCTTATAATTGATATTTGACAAACTTTTACCTGTCCAATTGATATGAAATTTTGCACACTTGTGTGAAGTTGGAGGCAATGCAGGAATCAATTGACAGAATAAATAATTTAGAAAAAATTTTAAATATTAAAAAATCGAAAAATTAATTTGTTTGATATTCGGAAATAAAATTAGAAATTCATTGTACATCTGTAACATTGGAAACACTGGATTCTTTAAAAGGGGAAGCCTGCCGAAGACCACCACTGCCCTGGATGTAATGGACTATCATGACTCCTGCCCTCCGGAACGTAGCCTTCAACACTTCTGGAAAATCATATAGGCAGCCGAAAGCCAACAGACAGAACGAATCAATTGAATTAGACCAATCAGCCCTCAGGAGAAACAGCCGGCGATCGAATGGCCTAGCGTCGTCCGCCGTACCGCGAAAAAATTGTACACCACTCGGACGTAGCGCGCCGGAGCCCTGCAGCGAATGTGATATCCGCCACCAAGCCGTCCGTATCTAGGCAGTGCGTCGAACCAGCCCTCGGTCGAACGCCCGCGGGTCGAACGCTCCAGCCGAGTGCTAACCCAACCTAACCTAACCTGACTCAGCCAGTCGCACGGCTCTTTCGACCGACGGCCTGGTGGTGCACGGCAGGTTTTATGCGAGGCCGGAGGTGGGCAAATCCAAGTGGTCGCAGGCTGTTGCGCCCAAGTTGTAATTCGAGCGGTGGCCAGGGTATGAAGTGATGCTTCGACGCAACGTTCAGTGGTGGACGGCCATTCGACCGTAGGCTATTCGACCTCGTGTCTGGGGGGTGTGGAGCTCAAAATATTCAAAGCAGAAGGATGTCAATAATCGGTTCCGGATAGCAGATTCCATTCACGGCTGATTGGTGGATGTCCGGAAAGATCCAAGGCGTTCGATTCAGGGCTTATTGGTGTACAAAGTTTGTGGTGCACGGCTGCGTTCCCCTTTAAAAGTGTTGTCTTTAAAAAGTAATTTTCAAACGTATATTATTATTTCGTTAAATTTACACACTTTATTCTTGCTGTTATTGATAACCGTGTCAAATGGGAGCCGAATTCAGATTCTGCAAGGTAGTTCATTATCAGAATTGAATTACTGTATGTAGTTTATTATTGCAGTTCTATTCATGAACTGAATTTCACATCTCTTGTACACGATTCTAAATTTGTGAGATAATAAATCTTAAAAATTTTACCAAGGTTGCGTAGGTTGCGTAGCACAAAACGGCGGTCGTGCTGCCAGTGCACACCGTTGCTGCTAAGAATACCTGGTGGAGGTAAATGGAAGCCCGTTGTACAATCTTAGGATAAATTTTTATTTAATCACAAATAAAATAACTAGCTTTCATTCTCATCAATTTGAAAGATGGCAGGCACACTTCTCACTGCTATTTTCACTTTTAATATCGTGGCAAAAATGAAATTAAACATTTATGATGAGAATATAACATAAAATGAAATTATATTGAAATCGAACTCGGTGCAATAATTAAGGCTTGCCCAACACAGCGGCGCTGAAGTAGGATGACAAACCTCCCTGTCCCCCAGACCCTGGGTCTTACTAACCTCCCTGTCCCCCAGACCCTGGGTCTTACTAACCTCCCTGTCCCCCAGACCCTGGGTCTTACTAACCTCCTGTCCCCCAGACCCTGGGTCTTACTAACTTCCCTGTCCCCCAGACCCTGGTCCATCATGTTGTTCACCGTGCCTGATATCAGACCGTTTCGATCATTGAACCCTGTAGACTATAGAGCCAGCGATGCTTTGCACCGGGGTCGAGGAGAAACAACCTGTTATTTATTAAAGTATGATACTTTCAGGATATAGTGATTCTTTTCTTGTGGTGTTCAGTTTATATTGAGGCCTTGAGGGTTTTGTCGAGTTGGGTGCAGTAGGGACTATAGGGAGGGGGGCGACCCGGACGAACTATGGTGACTTCAGTCAGTTTAGTGACGATTTCAATTTGTCGATGGCGATTTACTTTGCTCACAAAGTAGTTTTTTGAGAGGTAATAAATGAGCAGGTCCGAATATCATATTGTATTGGATTTTTTTGCTATTGAAGCTACCCTTTAAAACATTGCTTTCATAACAGACTTTTGATCGTTTTAAAGTGAATAAATTTCTAGGTTTGGGAGGACTATCAAGTTGAATTAAAAAAGTTATGAATACCAATTCTATTGTAAAAACTGCTGAACTGATACTCGTGATATAATAACAAACTTTTTATCATTTTAAAATGAATAAATTTCTAGGTTTGGCAGAACTTTTGAGTTGAATTTAATAAGTTATGAATACTAATTCGATTTTAATAATGGCTAAAGTGATACTCGTGAAATTATAACAGACTTTTTATTGCTTAAATGGAACATATTTCCAGGTTTGGCAGAACTTTCGAGTTGAATTTAATAAGTTATGAATACTAATTATATTTTGGGTTACGTTTGGTTTAGGCAGGCTTTTATTGCACGACATTTGATTTTTGAGTTTGATTTATTTGTTAAGAGAGATGAATATTTTAGATATGACCGAAGTTCATAATAATTACAAATTGATGTGAATGGATTTTCTCTTTTTTTCATATCCCTCATATTCTTATGCCTTTTATAATTAGTGGAGATTCTGTTATAGATTTTTATTGCGACACACTTTATTCTTGAAAAATATATACTGAAGAATGGAGTTTCATTTTGGTTCAAAATGCTTAATAATTTTGCTTATGGATGATTTTGCCTCATACAAGGCTTTTTCCTTCTTTATAGCGCATTTTCTCATTTAAGGAAAAAATGCACTATTGTGCTCATGTCCGCCCGTCCGTGACTTCACGTTTTCGTCGACGAGAAAATGCGCTGTCACTCACTGCAGTGCATGGTACTGAGTTATATTTTTTTGTGCTCATTTTGACAGGGCTATAATCTGTCCTTAGTTCAGTGCGGTGCTATGTCCACATCTTCAGTGGAAGCGCGTTGATTTAATCATGTTTTGATTTGGGGCGTGGCTTTGTTTCACATAACAGAGCCTCAAAGTAAAATAGACTTTACAGAATAAATTTATTTATCCCGTAACGTTTTAATTTTATTTAGTTTTTATTGTGGCTCAGTTGTTTGTCGATAACGGTTAATTGTGAGCGTGGAAACTATTGGTCTTTTAAAATAAATGATTACAGATATTATTATTTAAGTTTCTCTGCCGATCAAGATCACTCATGATCACTTCTCACTCTGCACTGGACTATTGATTGCTAAAAATTAAATGCCATGAGATAAGCTTGGCCTAGAGATCTTCTTAATCTTGGACTCCGTGCTTGTTTGCTTTGGGTCAGCAGCTGTTTAAGCTAAAAAAATGAATTTATAGCAAAAACTCCTAAATCTGCGCACGTAAACTGGAGAGCACAATGCTAGAAACACAAAATTCGAGAGACGTTCAGCTTATAATTCTAGATATTAATTAAAGAAATTCAAAGCGTTTTTTATTTTTAGAAAAATATCATATGTCTGCTTGAGGGCTTATTGCCGAGGGAAGAATCCAATGACGATCTGTAGTCCAGAATGACTAAAAAAGAGCAGGTAATCAAATAGCAAGAATTTTATGTAAAGAATTTGCTGCGCAGAAGTAATATCGGGTGGTTAGAATTCAACATTAATATTATTGCAGCAATTAAAATTTTTCCTTACGTTACACTGAGAAGAAACCCAATCTTAAAAATTTTATTTTAGAAACGTAAAAGTGCACTAAAAATTCTCACACAAAAATGTCTAGCCATACTTACTACAATTTCTTGCGAGGCAATGTGTTCAGACAATGACTCGATCAAAACTGCTACATTGCTCCTAGAACGGGACTGCATGTAGCTTTTTGAAATCGCTTCGGGACTTCAACGAAATACGTTAATTTGTTTTGAGTATTGGAAATCTAAACAATCATTGTGCTTATCACGGTGTACAGCGGTCAATTAACGGCCAATTAAAACAGGCCCTATCTCAGATCTGATACTCGCGCATCGGAGGAAGCAGTAATTGAGGCAGTTTTAACCGATTTAATTGTAAGTTCAATAGTTATGGCTTCAATGCAACTGCGATAAAAACGATGAGTTTTGAGAAAGCCAGAATGATCACTAACAGAGTAGTTTTACCGAGTAACATGGATACCAAGAATTCTAGCAAAAGTTCTGAAAAGCTGAGCTTGTAATCTAAA